AGAAGGATCAAGGAGCAGTATTGGTTCCCCAGGTGTCTGGGGCCCCAAGACAAGGAATGGGGAGAGAACTAAGGCAGAGATGGGAGGGTGAATGAAGCCGAGGGAGTCAAGGTGCGGAGGGCGAAATGGACTTACCCTGGAGAGAGGCCGGGTAGGAGCAAGCCTTGTTATTTTTATTCAACACTGAATGCTAGTGCCCAGTGCACCAAGTAATCTTTCAAATGTTTCTCGAATGGCAATGCCCCTGAGCCTGAGGTTGCCGTGCATGTACTCCATTATCTCTCTGATCCTGGGACTCTGGTTATTACTCAGGAACTGGCATGGTTAACATTTCCTGAGCTATTTCAGTGTGACTTTGTCTTTAACAAGAGAAATGCTTCAAATTAAAGCTCTCATGTGTCTGAACACTACACAGTTGCAACTATCAGTAATGTGGCAGTGTATAATTTCTATAGTAGTTTTCATATGCATCTTGTCACTTAACAACAGTATGAGGCTAGAAACCATTCCAAACCCCTCCAGAGACTAGGTGAGAGGGAAGCAGTCATTGCTGTTAGCTCAGTGGGTCAACGTAATAGCTTCCCAGAGGCAGTTAAATCTAAAGGAGGACATCAACCACATGCTAAGAGTTGGCCTGTTATCAGTTATGTCACAGGGAATTTTTATCTGTGTTAGCAACAGTAATTTGAGTTGGTAAAGTTAGCTCTTACTGAGACTATCCAGTTATGAATTTAAATTTTTCAAAGGTGGAAGAAGTTAGAATTTATGGCAGGACCAGGCAGAGCCAAATTAATCACATGATGATGTGTGGTTTTGGAAAACTGGACTGGTAGAGTAGCTCAGTTACACTGTAGAGTGTGTGTTTAGCGTGTCTGAAGCCCTGGGTTCAATCTCATCACAACAACAACAACAGCAACACAATTGCTTCCAATCTTTCCATAATTCCCTTGTATTTTATAGTGTGCTCATACCATCCCACTGCCATCGTTCAGCTGACACTCTATTTTATTTGATGCAATTTTCTTTCAGTTATCCATTGTTCTAACCATTTCTCGGTGATTCTCTACCGTCATAACTTACCCTTCCCGTATCTACTAACTCATGGATTCATTAAATGGCTAGCTAATTTTGATGGTGTCTCCAGGGCTTACAACAAAGTCGCTTTCTCCCTGATCCATGGTATCACATTATGGATTTGCTTTTCTGTTATTGTCATTGTCTGGTCTTCGGGTTACAAGCAGCACGTGCTCAATGAAGTTCATGGTTAAAGATGCTGAGAATTCACTATCCTGGTTCAGATCTTTACTCTGCCACTCACTAGAAGTGTAGACTTTAGCAGAAGCATGTAATTTCTCTGTGCGACCATGTATTAGTTACTTTTTTTTTTTTACATGGAATGCTTCATGAGTTTATGTGTCATCCTTGCACAGAGGCTATACTAATCTCCGTGTTATTCCAATTTTAGTATATATGTTGCTAAAATGAACACTAGTTACTTTTCCTGTTTCTGTAACAAAATACCTGACAAAAGCAACTTAAAGAAGGAAAGTTTATTTGGACTTATAGGTTAAGAGAGGTGGGGAAGCCAGGTGTGGTGGCACATACCTTTAATACTAGCGCTTAAGAGGCAGAGGCAGCTGGATCTCTGTGAGTTTGAGGCCAACCTGGTCTACATACATAAGGGATTCCAGGCCAGCCAGGCTACATAGTGAGACCCCATCTCAAAATCAAACAAATGAGAGATGGGAGATGGGGAAGGTAAGGCAGGGTTCATATGCAGCAGGGACTCTTTACATATGGGCAGACCAGGAAGAATCCAGGAGATGCTGGTGCTGCTTTGCCTGCTCTATTCACTCTGGGCTTAGTTAGATGTCTCTAAACACCCTCACAGATGTGCCCAAAAGTGTGTCTCCTAGGTGCTTCCAAATCAAACCAAACTGATCGTGAGGATTATCCATTTCTTCTTTTATAAATAGGGACAATGTAGTGTGTGTCCCTTATGGTTTTATGCGCATTATATGACTGTGTGTAAGGAACTAAGACCACTGCCTGACTTAATATGATACATATATTTGTCTTGTTTCTGAAAAGTCAGTTTTAAAGCTCTTCATAGCTCTTGTTTGCACAATTGACACTCAATAAACATGTGTTAGTCTGATCTCATTGGTTTTCTTCATTAAAGATCTCAGTGTTTTAAAGTATTTATTCTCAACACAATACACAAATACACATTTGAAATGAATTTGTGAAAGGATAATTTTTTGTGATAATAAAACAAAGCATATTGTAACATGAGCAACTCTTTTATTCCTTTTATAAAGAGAGGAAATTGGCTGCAATCTTTTGGTTCAGTCCAGCTAGGTAGATTTGTCAATTAGCATCTGCATCCAGATGTGATGTGTCACCTTGAAGGTCACCAAAAATGTTTTCTGATTCTCTTAGTTAGTTGGGGCTACATAAACCCAGA